AGCTCTTTACTAGACCAGGTGCTTTCCACAGTGGTTCTCCATCACGGCCCTCCCAGACCCCAGGGGACTGAGTTGTCAACACTACTCCCTTGGATACAGCTAGCTCGGTCCTAACCTCAGTTCCTGCCACTGAAGCCAGGGACATCTTTCCAAGAAACAAGCCCAGTTCTGGACCATGTTTGGTGCCTTTCCAGGAGGGCTGGTAGAAGCTGCTCGGAAGTGCTGGTAGTCCTGATCTTCGCAGCGCAGCCTCCTCCTCTCGTGCTGCCATTTATGTCACCAGCTTCTTAGTTGGGAGGGGGGTGAGATCTGAATTCAAGGGGCTTAATTTTAAATCTGCCTGCCAAAACATGCAGTCAGTCCAGTCCTGATCTTCTGTGAGCAGCCTCCTCCTCTCGTGCTGCCATTTATGTCACCAGCTTCTTAGTTGGGAGGGGGGTGAGATCTGAATTCAAGGGGCTTAATTTTAAATCGCCAAAACATAACATGCACCTACCTCAGTCCAGCCTCCCAAGCAGGCTGGCATTAGCTTCAAAAGGAGACACCACTGACCAACAGCAGATTAGACAGCAGGCCAAGAACCAAAAGTCATAGGAAAACTGAAGAAAACTGATAAAACAATCGTAAGGTCAAAAATGTAACTTAAATACCGTTCCGAACTTTTTGTTAAAAGGGAGTTGCGTGATGGTAAGGGAGAAGCAGGGAAGTTTTGAAACCACAAAGAGGCACACAGCTGGTGGAAAGTAAGGAAATGGCTGATCTAAGGGTCAGATGTTCTCTACATTGGAGATAAACTTTTGGTCTGATCCTGCAAGGCTTATCTCTGGGTAATGCTGTAGAAATGAGAACAAATAAAAACAGAAATAATTTTTAGAAGAATAGGAAGTAGGCATCATGGAAAAATTAAAAATATAAAATTCAACGTTGGAGAAAGTGTGTGTGTGTGTGTGTGTGTGTGTGTGTGTGTGTGTGTGTGTGTGAGAGAGAGAGAGAGAGAGAGAGAGAGAGAGAGA